CTTTTAAATAGTTTCAAATCTCTTTTGTTAACAAAATAAAAATAAAACTATAAACAAATGTTTTCCAGACCCTTCATTTACCTCTGGCTATTTCATATTTTTTGAAACTAAACTTTTTTGACAAGAAGTTCATTCTCCTGTTCTTATTTCTCCTCTTCTCAATTTCCTCCAATCTGGGTTATGTTCACTTTTGTTTTACCTCAGCTAAATTAAGTAACACACACCATTTCTCTTAATATAATGGGCATATTTCAGTCGACTTCCTAATTCACTTCTCAGCAGTGTTAAAATCATGAAACCAACCAGATACTTTCTCTTCTCTTGGCTTCTCTAACACACCACCTCTGACATTCTAATATCTTTTATAGGCTCCTTCCTCATACCAGGCCATGAATTTGAGAGCTCCTAAATTCTTGACCCTGGGTCCTTCTCTCATACTTTATCCCTCAGTAACCTATTTGTAGATAACCTGTACATTTTCATCTTTAATATATACTTCCCCTCCAAGTGTCAGACTACAGGGTCTTCTCTGCTTTCAGAAGATAATTATAATCTGAAAATCTCCTTGCTGAGTAATTATTATTTTAAAAAAACAAAAAGAAACAATCCTATAAAAATTAGTGGTACACAATTATTTCCATAGTTAGATAAATATATATAGGATATTCAATGTTTGCATAATAAAAGCATTAATTCAAAATATAATAATAAATGATATTTTCAAAAAGCAAGTCATCTTCAGAAAATCATCCATCACTCTCTTTTTAACAAACTTTAATGGCCTCTTACTACTTTTATAATAAAGACCAAAATCCTGAACATGGCCTACTTACCTCTACAACTTCATGCATCACGATGCCTCCATCGCTCTCTACCACTCCAGGCAAGCTTTGCTTATGTTGATCTCTAAGCCTGGACTATGTCTCTGCATCCTCTTCCCTACTATTGCCTAATTAAGTTCTGTCCTTACTTCAAATTTCAGTTCAATTATCTCTTCCTTAATGAAACCTCTGATCTCTTTCACTTGGTCAAACCCTCCTATATTGTTCTTATGTACTTCTTCTTGAGATACTTATGACAGTTTGATTTTATATTTATTTTATGAATTATCCCATTATTGTTAGTAGATTCCATGAGAACTGGGAATTTGTTCTTTGGTCTGACAATTTGTATTTGCACAAAGAGGTTATGTAAGTTACTAAGAGCACACAGAAGGCAAATAGCAGGGATGGAGTTACAACCAATGAAAAGTCTATGCTTTAAACCACTAAGCTATATTGCCTTTCAGGAAAAAGGATGACTTTACATACATTAATTCAATTATTATACCCAGAAAAAATATATAAGCTAGATAGCATTGACTCCATTTAAAAAATGAAGAAACCAAAATTCAGAAAGGGAGGTAACACTTCAAAGGCTACAGACATTGGAAGTGTTCAAGTCCAAATTTGCACTTAGATCTGTAAATTATCCTTCTACATGAAGGTGACTTTAAACCTATAACTCTCATCCTTTTACATGCAAAAAGACAATGGAAAACTATAAATCTAAGAACGCAGTATTCTCATGGTGTTCTCAGTAACTACTCATCTCAGTTCCTAACTTCTTCATATATCCTATTATATGATGTTCTCAGGGAAGGGAGTGTGAAAGAAAGAGAGATGGTGATAGGGCTATGTTAGGACTGGTATCTGTCATATAGGAGGCACTCAAATGCATAGTTATTGACTGAATATTCCATTAAATTTGTTTTTTAATCATCTTCTTTTGGCAAGAAATTTAGCAAACATTTCTCACAGCAATTGAAATTAGAGTCCATTTTATTTTATTTTTCCAGCATATTATGGGGATACAAATGTTACTGTATATTTCCCTCGCCTCCCTCCCCCCTCAAGTCAAAGCTTCAAGCATGTCTGTCCCCCAGTTGGTGCGCATCACACTCATTATGTATGTATATACCCATTGTCTCCCCCCCAACCTGCCTAACACCCAGTAGACGTTATTCATATATGTCCATGTATGTGTCGATCAGTTAATACCAATTTGCTTGTGAGTACATGTGGTGCTTATTTTTCCATTCTTGGGATACTTTGCTTAATAGAATGGGTTCCAGCTCTATCCAGGAATATACAAGAGGTGCTATATCACCATTGTTTCGTATAGATGAATAGTACTCCATGGTATACATATGCCAGATGCGGTGGTGCGCGCCTGTAGTCCCAGCTACCCGAGAAGCTGAGGCAGGAGGATCGATTGAGTCCAGGAGTTCTGGACTGTAATGCGCTATGCTGATCGGGCATCCACACTAAGTTTGGCATCAATATGGAGACCTCCTGGGAGCTGGGGACCACCAGGTTGCCTAAGGAGGGGTGAACCGGCCCAGGTCAGAATAGAGTCCATTTTTTAAAATTTTATTTTTTGGAGGTTTTTCAAATTTTTATCTCTCTATTTTTGTCTCAATGTTATGTTGTTGAATGGTGAGTGTAAATGGGCTTTATTTTGTCACTGCATGTTCATAGAACTAAAATAGTCTTGGGCAGATGATATGCATTTAATAAATATTTGCTGAAAGTTAAATGTTGAGAGCAGGCACATCTGGAAAGTAAATATCTGCCTTCATTGGAAGCAAAATTTATCTTAAGAATAAAAATTACAATATTAGTATATGCAAAAATGTACATATTTCTCTTTTAAAAAGTTATAGGTTTCATGAAATATTTTGGTCCCTCAAATATGTATGGCTTTTGACAAAAATATTAAACATGCTTTAGTTGAGCTCATGACTTACAACATTTTTATATTTTAAAGTAAATTTATAGATTTTAAACATAAGATTCCAAACATGTAAGATATTAATGAATGATATTAGTAAGTTAATTTCATTAATGAGTTCATTATTGATTAATGCGAAATAATTTTTCAAACCTTATGAATGACATAATTAAAATATGCTGTTTATTTGTTTGAATCTCCACAGCTCAGTCCCTTTTTAAGACATTCTGTTCTGAAGAGAACATACAATGTAACTCTACCAAATTCCATCTTGATTAAGAGAGAAAACACTCCTACCATAGAACAGAAATTCAAACAAAAACGCCCGGGAGGCAAAATAGAATCTTCTAAATGGTGAGTGTGCTTGTTCTCACTGAATTGTATTAGTACTATATTTTTTCAATTTATAAATTAACTGTCATACACAATCCTTTTGTTAGATAATTTTTTCTGTCCTCAAAGCAATATATTTGCATCCTTCTCCTAGAGATTGCTTATATATATATATATAGCCCCAAGGAGTAATTAGCAGATTATAGTAGATGACAATCTTTGTGCTTCTAGAAATAAGTACTAATATGGTCAAGAATAGCCATTACATTACCTTTCCATTTTTATGAAGTCTGTTTTAATTTGCCTTTAATACCAAGGTAGAAGAGTTACTTTAATGAGGTGGACAGCCTTTTGGTTAATATATCTTTTTTAATGCAAAGAAATAGAAAACAATATGCCTTAGTTATTACTGAATTATATCTCATTGCAGCATTTAGCATTTTTTTTGGCCAAATTGTAAAATCAAGCAAGTTTGGATTAAGAATACATATTCTAATGAATGGAATAGAACAGAAATCTCAGATATTAAACCATCCACATACAGCCAACTGATCTTTGACAAAGTAGACAACAACATACACTGGGCAAAAGAAGCCTTATTCAATAAATGGTGCTGGGAAAATGGGATAGTCACATGCAGAAGAATGAAATAGGGTCCATATCTTTCACCACTTACAAAAATTGATTCAAGATGGATAAAGGACTTAAATGTAATTCATGAAACCATAAGAATGCTAGAACGAAATATTGGAAAAGCTCTTTTAGATATCAGGTTAGGCAAAGAATTTACGAAGAAGACCCCAATGGCAATGACAGCAACAACAAAAATAAAAAAATAAATGGGATTGGATTAAATTAAAAAGCTTCTGTACAGCCAAGGAAATAATTAACTGAATAAATAGACAACCTACAGAATGGGAGAAAATATTCCAAAGCTATACATCCAATAAAGGACTAATAACCAGAATCTACAAAGAACTCAAGCAAATCAGCAGGAAAAAATCAAACAAACCCATTAAAAAGTGGGCAAAAGAGGTAGCCAATATGGCCAACTAGAGATAGCTTATTGGACTGTCTTGGCAGAAGAGTGGAAAGTTGGACTGAGGAGAGTACAGAACAATTACTGCTCAGATGTGGACCATGGGTAGAGGCAGCAGGGGAGTCTGGGGACACCATCAAGAGGTGTTGGGAAGCTGAGAGAGAAAAGGATAGAAAAGAGAGATCAGCGGCATAAACCAAATTCAGGGAGGCCTGGAGCCCAGTGAAAGAGTAAGAGATGCTTCCCTCACCCACCTGGGTGCCTGAGGCCAGCAGCAGGACACAGGGCTCTCATCCCACAGGGGAGAGCCACGAGGAATCATAGAGCCAGCATTCCTGCTTCTGATGCCTCCTCCTCTGCATCCCCTCCATTCCTGGCATCCCAGAATGTAATTTTGGCTGAAGCTGGCATGTAGCTGCCTCCTTCCTCCTCATAGCAACCACAGAAGTGCTCCACACTTATAGGCTTGTCTCCCCACAATGCAGACACATTCCTAGAGGAAGGTGCCTCAGACAGTGAAGCTGCAGTGGTGGAGGCTGGGACAGGTGGACAGGACCGAGGGCCCCTGGACATGAGAGCAGTGCAGGGAGACTGCAGCCCCTCCTCCCATCATAGAAGCCTCTGGTGTGCTCTGTGCTGAGAGAAATTCTTTTCAGCACCTGGGGGTACATTCCCTCTCAAGTTGGCGGGACAGCTGTACTTTGTGATCTTCCTGCACACAGGTGTTTGGCACATTCACCCACTGGTGACTCAGACAGGTGGCCAAACCTGGTGCTCCCTGAGTCATGGGAGTAGAGAAGGGAGACATAGGGGAGAGGTCACAGTTCCAGGCTCAGGTGGCAAGAGAGGCTTCATAGCCATACTCAATGGGAGGGTGGGGAGAAGCACAAGGGTGGGACAGAGGGCTGTGAGCATACCTCACCCCCATTCCTTGCTGGAGAATAACCATAGTGGAGAAGGCTGCAACACTGGGTCTGAATTAGCATAGCCCCTGGTTCCCATGGCAACTGAATGCCTCAGACACCCAGGCTGAGTGGGAGAAGTAGCCCTTCCCACCACTCACTTCAATAGGGATTGCAGCTTGATCCAAGAGACTCACATGAGCTACCACTACTTCCCCAGTGGGAGCATGACACTGACAGAGACCTCTGTGGCTAGAAAGGCCTATCTCCATTGCTTTGGGGTCTAGTGGTGGAAAAGGGGTGGACAATAAGAGATTTTCCTACCCTCCAGCATCAGTGGAGATTCATGCCAGTAGGTCAAACACACAAACTGTGGGGTAGCTCAAGAGCCAATCTTGGATGAAGAGGGAACATACATGGACTAAACAGAGAGGATAGTGCTGTGGATTTCCAGGGAAAAAATAGGGAGGGCACACCTCTACCTCTCAGAGAAACAGGGCTAGTGGACATGGATGGAAAAAGCCTGGCTAGGGACCTTAGCAATCACATGATTAGGCCCCTCCAATTAGGAGCAGCTCCCTGGGCTTGGAGGCAGCCCTCAAATCCATATCAGTGGCTCCTCTTAGCATCAGGATAAGCAACCTCTGAGCCATGCTGAGGATTAACAAAGCTCTTCACTCAGGATCTCACATTCCAGCCACTATCTATCTTGCTTCTCCCCCCATCCCAGGGAAGTAGGGACCAAGCAACCCTCTGAGACCTACAAGGCACCCCCTACAGCTCGGGGCATCATGTACCCCACCTGGGGGACCAGAGCCTACCCTAAGCACAATAGATTACCTCAGAAGCTGGCTCCTACATGCAAAATACAAACAATGAAAGTGGGAACAACCCCATAGCTAAACATGGTGCCTTCCAACTCAAGTGATTAGAGAATAATAGATTTGTAGCCACAAGTACAATCCATCAACTTGGAGATTAAGCTGGGGGACCAAACTCACTACACTCCATTGGGAAGAGGTGAAAACAACAAGTCAGAGGTAACCAAAGAGGTTCATCAAACCTGCTAAAACACCCCAAAGGCAACACTCAGGGCAAGCACGCCTCTCACCAGCATGGTCAGGGAATCAATCTTTGGGGACTCGGAGACAGGACTATGAGCCAGCCGTAGCACCTCCACTCTCCATCAAGAGTCCAGGTGAGAGGAATCAGCCAAAAACCTTTGAAAAGATAAAAAATCAGAACCAAAGGACACCCCCAAAAGAAATCAGTAGCACCTCACTGATGGATACCAACCTAAATGAAATGGTTAAAATGACAGATGAAAAATTTCAAATATGGATTGTAAGAAAGCTCAATGAAATACAAGAGAAAACAGAGAGCCAACACAAAGAAGCCACAGAGACAATGCAGGAAATGCATAAAAATTTTTCTAAATAAATTAAAGTATTAAAGAAAGCCCAAACAGAAATTATGGAAATGAAAATTCATTGAAGGAATTACAAAACTCAGTGGAAAGCCTTAAGAATAGGCTAGATTAGGCAGAAGAAAGAATCCCAGAGCTTGAAGATAACACCCATGAGCTAAACAATCAGTTAAAGAGAAAGAACAGAGAAATAAGAGGAATGAGCAAAGCCTACAAAAAAGTGAGATTATCTAAACAGTCCAAACATAAGAATCATACATATCTCTGAGGGTGAAGAAGAAAATAGACAATGGTTGGATAATTTATTTGAGGGGATAATTGAGGAAAATTTTCCTGGCCTAGCTAGAATTCTAGATATTAAGGTAAAGAAGCATACAGGATTCCTGGGTGATTCCTCATGAAAATTCAATCATCACATCATATAGTCATTGGGATGGCCAAAGCAGACACAAAAGAGGTACTCCTACAAGCAGTAAGGTGAAAACAGCAGGTAACCTACAAAAGAAAACGAATTAGACTAACTACAGCCTTCTCAACTGAAACCTTATAATCCAGAGCAGACTAGGGACCCATCCTCAGTTTTCTAAAACAGAATGATGGCCAGCCTAGAATTTTGTATCCTGTAAAACTAAACTAATTATATGAGGGAAAAATAAAGACTTTCTCAGGCAAGCAATTGCCGAGGGAATATGCAAAGACTGCACCTACCCTGCAAGAAGTATTCAGAACTGTATTATAGATCAGTACAATAGATGCCCACAAGTGTAAAATCATTTAAACAGTAAAGTTCAGAAGCTGCATACCACAATGGCTCAAGAGGTAAAACAAAGCAGTAAAGGTCTACCAAGCAGATGAGCAGAAATCCACCCCACTTATTAATTCTTTTGATAAATGTGAATGACTTAGACTCTCCACTGCAGAGACATAGGCTGGCTGAATGGATAAAAAAAAAATACAAGGCAAGTATCTCCTGTCTCCAGGAAATGCATAATCCACAAATACTCACTCAGATCCAAGGAAAAGGGATAGAAAATAATATTCTATGCAAATGGAAATCAAAAGGAAGCTGGTATAACCATTCTTATATCAGATAACATAGACTTCAAATCAACAAAAGTAAAGAAAAAGATGGTCACTTTATAATGGTGAAGGGACTAGTTCAACCAGAAGACTTAACAATCCTAAATATTTATGCACCTAGCACAGGAGTGCCCAGAGACATAAAGCAAATCCCACTTGATCTAAACAAAATGATAAACAGCAGCACCATAATAGCTGGGGACTTCAACATCCTACTGACAGAACTGGACAAATCCTCTAAGCAAAAAATTAACAAAGAAACAATGGACATAAACGGAACTCTAGAACAAATTGGCCTAACAGATAATTATAGAACATTCTGCCCCCAAAATGCAGAATATATGTTTTTATCATCACTCATGAAACTTTCTCTAAAATTGATACATCATAGGGAACAAAACAGGTCTCAACAAATTTAAAAAATAGAAATTATGTCATGTGTCTCTGAGACCACCATGGAATAAAATTAGAAATCAAGTCCAACAGAAACACTCATCTCTACACAAAGTTGTGGAAACTGAACAACCTACTGCTGAACAATTTTGGGGTCAGGGAGGAGATAAAAATTAAAAATAGAAATCCAAAGATTCTTTCAACTAAGTGATAATGGTTATGAAAAATTTCTGGGATACAACATAAGCAGTAGTGAGAGGAAAACTCATAGCCTTAAATGCTCACATCTGAAAGACAACAAGATCACAAATCAATAATCTAATGACTCATTTCAAGGAATTGGAAAAGGAAGTGCAAACCAACCCTAAACCCAGTAAAAGAAAAGAAATAACCAAGATCAGAGCAGAAGTAAATGAAATTGAGAATAAAGGAACTATACAGATTAATGAAACAAAAAGTTGGTTCTTTGAAAAGATAAACAAAATCAACACACCTCTTGCTAGATTAACAAGAAGCAGAAAGGAAAGGACTTTAATAAACTAAATTAGAAATGAAAAAGGAAAAATCACAACTGATATCATGGAAATACAACACATCACCTTTGAATACCATACAAATTCTTATGCTCATAAACTTAAAAATGTGGAGGAAATGGACAAGTTCTTAGAAACACACAACCTCCCTAGGCTCAATCAGGAAGAAATAGAATTTCTGAACAGACCAATATCAAGCACTGAAATTGAAGTAGCAATAGAAAATCTTCCAACAAGATTTTCCTGGAAATGTCCTGGAACAGACATATTCACACCCAAATTTTACCAAACCTGCAAATAACTGGTACCTATACTGCAGAAATTATTCCATAACATTGAGAAGGAAGAAATCCTTTCCAGCTTATTCTACAAAACCAATATCACCTTGATACCAGAGCCAGGAAAGGACACAATAAAAAAAGAAAACTACACACCTAGAACCCTTATGAATACAGATGCAAAAATTCTCAATAAAATCTTGCAAACTGAATTCAACTGCACATGAAAAAAATAATTCACCATGACCAAGTGGGCTTATTCCAGAGATGCAGGGATGGTTTGACATATACAAATCTACAAATGTAATTCACCACATAAATAGAAGCAAAAAAAAAAAAAAAAAGACCATATGATACTCTCAATAGACACAGAAATAGCATTTGACAAAATTCAGCACCATTGTATAAGAATTCTTAACAAAATAGGCATAGATGGGACATACTTCAAAATTATTAAAGCCATATACAACAAACCCATAACCAACATCATACTGAACAGGGAAAAATTGAAAGCATTTCCACTCAGAACTGGAACCAGTCAGGATTGCCCATTATCACAACTTCTTATCAACATAGTGCTGGAATTCCTAGCCAGAGCAATCAGACAAGAGAAGGAAATCAAGGGTATCCAACTGAGGAAAGAAGAGGTCAAACTATCATTCTTTGCTGCCAGTATGATCTTATATCTAGAAAACCCTAAAGATTCAACCAAGAGACTCCTGGAATTGATTAAATAAATTCAGCAAAATCTCCGGCTCCAAAATTAATGCATACAAATCAGTAGCTGTCATATATGCCAATAACAGTCAAACTGAGAATCAAATCAAAGACATAATACCTTTCACACTAGTAATAAAGAAAATAAAATACCAAGGAATACATTTCACTATGGAGGTGAAAATCCTTTATATGGAGAACTACAAAACATTGAGGAAATAAATTGTAGAGGATATAAACAGATGACAAAACATACCAGGCTCATGGATCAGAAGAATCAACATTGTTAAAATGTCTATACTATCTAAAGTGATTTACAGAATCAGAATCGGAATAAGAACAAACTGGGAGGCATCACTCTACCAGACTTCACGCTATACTACAGGCTATATACTAACCAAAATAGCATGGTATTGGTACCAAAACAGACACAGATCTTGAATCACAAGAGAGAACTCAGATATAAATCCATCCTCATATTGGCAATCAAAAACCTATACCGGGGAAAAGAATCCCCATTCAATAAATTGTGGTGAGATAATTGGATAGTAACATGTAGAAGGCTGAAACAGAATCTGCGCATCTCACCACTCACAAAAATGAATTCACAATGGACAACAGACTTAAAACTAAGGTATGGAACTATCAGAATTATAGAAGAAATGTTGGACAAACTCTTACAGATATTGCTTGTGCAAAGAATTTGTGAAGGATACCCCAAAATCAATCATAGCTATGAAAAAATAAGTAAATGGGACCTGAACAAATTAAAAAGCTTTTGCACAGCCAGGGACATAATCAATAGAGCAAATAGACAACCTACATAATGGGAGAAAATATTTGCATGCTTTATATTCATTAAAGGGCTGATAACCAGAATCTACAAAAAACTCAATCAAATAATCAAAAAAAAAAAAATCAAACAACCGCATTAAAATGTGGGCAAAAACATGAATAGAAAGTTTCAGAAGAAGATAGACTAATGGCCAACAAACACATGAAAAAATGCTTCAAGGTTTCTAATCATCAAGGAAATGCAAATCAAAACCACAATGATATATTACTTAACTCCATTGAGAATGGCTTTTATCAAAAAATTCCCGAACAACACACTCTGGCAAGGATACAGAGACAAAGGTACACTTGTATACTCTCGGTGGGACTGCAAATTAGTACAACCTCTATGGAGAGTAGTTTGGACATACCCCAAAGAACTAAAAGTAGACCTACAATTTGATACAGCAATCCCACTACTAGGTATTTACCCAAAGGGAAAAAAAAAGACATTTTATTCAAAAGACACTTGCACTCAAATGTTTATAGCAACACAATTCACAATCACAAAGATGTCGAAACAACCCAAGTGCCCATCAATATGTGAGTGGACTGATAAAATGTCGTATATGTGTACCATGGCACACTACTCAGCCATTAAAAAAATGGTGACATAGTATCTTTTGTAATAACCTCGATGAAACTGGAGACCATTCTTCTTAGTGAAGTGTCACAAGAATGGAAAAACAAACACCACATGTACTCAGTACTAAATTGGAACTAATCTATCAACACTTATGTGCACATATGGAAGTAAAACTCAAGGGAAATCAAGTGTTCTCTTCTCCTTTGTAATTTGATCTCTTCAAGTCCAACTTTCTTGAACTTGAACTACAAGTTTTGTCTCTAGAAACCCTGAGAAGGCCAAAATCTAAGCTTAATATTTATTCACTTTGTGGCTGTCTTCTTCATCCTTTGGCCTTGTGCTATTTAGGAACTGCATATTACTCAAGGGGAATGGAAGGCTCACCTCCATGTTGTGCCCACCTCACTTTTCTACCAGGTTCCTGGCTTTTCAAGACCTGGTTGTTTGTGCAGTTTTCCATACACTTAAATAGATTTAAACAGAAATAAATTATCTAATTTTTCTCAGTAACATGGTCTTCAGCAATTTACTCTTTGCCATATCTGAAATTCTTTCTTTACAGCAGTTTGTCAAGCTCTTTCCCTTTTTCCTTTCCAACATTTCCTGAAATCCTATGTCTTCAATGAACATTTACAACTAAGAAGGAATATCTCCTAGACATGATGTATCCTGACATATAACTATTCATCATTCTATTAAAAGTGCATATTCTTTTAAAAAATATATTAATTTATTAAACTTACTTGAAGATTTATTTCTTCGAGGATTATTATTGTCACATATAAAATAAAAGAATATATTAAGGTTATAGTTTATTTATTTTTACATGGTATCACACAAAAATAAGTTCTTCAAAAATGCTTTAGTGTTCCAACATGCACACCCACATTCTAAACCTTCTGTGAAATAAGCCTTCATCACAGAAAGCCAGACTGGCCCCTGTTTAAATTTACCATTATGGTTTGATAAAAAGATTTCATTCCATCTTTTCTGTTCATACACCATCCTATCATTACCACCAAAGACCCTCAAAAACCTACCAGATTTGCATTCAGAATTATTCTGCATTCAGTAAATATAGTGTTATTTGGAGGCTGCCTCCTTTAATTAACTTTCATTAAAAATAATTTTATTCCACAATTAGAGAGAAATTTAATGCTTGGCTGAGCTGCTACACTAACTGTAAAACAAAATGTGTGAGTTAACATGTTCAAATGGCTGTTATCAACTCTACTTATGTTTGCGTGAAGGGAGAACAAGGCAAGTAACAGAAGGGTGTTGGATAATTAAAAATGGGGATTTGCCACATGAATAAGAAAAGTATGTCAGATAGTAAGGGTGATGTCACCAGAACAAATTCTCTGGACTTTCCAGGCTTACTTTGGGTCAAGCCATGTATTATTCAACTGTTTCTGATAATAATGGAAATTTAGCATAAAATATTTTTGTCAGATGTGGTCTCACATACATGAAGCTTAGTGAAAAATTGATATTTCACCTAAGATAAGATCATGAAGTGCCTCTTATGTATTACAAGTTCATTTTATAACTAATTTTATAATAAATTAAAATAGCTTCATTCTCACAATATTCATCAGTGGAAAAATCAGTATATTATGTTGTGAAAGTTTTAGTTTCTATTACTTTTTTGTTTTGGCAGTTGACACTTCATCTTATTAGATTCACTATTACTATGATATAACATCCAAACAATTGCTCCTATAATATATACTTTATACACTTTTAACTAGTCAAATCTCCTGCAGAGTTATTAGGACAATCTAAAGCCAGGTTTATAACATAACATGAACTACTTGATATAAATGATATTTAGTTAATTTGGTTTTTTAAAAAAAAGGACATTTCCTGAATAGTTTTTACTTGCAGGAATGTAACTGCAAGAGGAATCCGAAAGATTATTTTGGCTTAGATGGAGAAGTACAATAGAGGTAATACTTACTGAAACAGTTTTTCTTTCTCTGCAGATATATTCCAAAGGTATTATCTATTAATATAAAGGTAAGCTGACAGTTCTCTCATGAAGAAGCACTTCCATTTTGATGATGTCCTCCATCAGCTGCTCAAAGAAACATAATTGCTCTTCTAACATCTAGAGATAGAAAAATCTGTTTGTACAAGATGTTTAATCCTCCTTTTCCCTGAAAAAAGCAGTATGTATATTCATTTCATTTTTTCTAAACATATACTACTGATGCTTCCATATAAAATATAATACTGAATAAAGACATCTGATGAAAAGCCTTTTTTTTTTTTACTGTAGAGTCTCATTCTCTAACCAGAGAATACAATTATTTTCCAAATACTAGGTATGCTGAAACAAAGTAAATGATGTTATTATGTGTATGTGTATCTACTTGACTCATTTTCTTACCCTTCATTTCTCTGAAATGTTAAAAGTAGAGACTAAAAATCATAAAAGGAATATTCAGTATGTTTTACTTTGTATGAATTTATGTGCAAATAGAAGAGCAAGGAAAAAGTGACTAAATTATGGCAATATGCTGAGTTCTTTTCAATAGCCTACATATTGGAGGAAGAGGAATAAACTTAAATATTAAATTCTAAAACTTTTGTGGTTAATTCTCTACTTCTAACATGGTCTTGAAAAACAAATCAGTCAAAGATAAGGATTTATATCATGGTTCCTAATGTTTGGGGAGGAGCATAGCCCCTTTGGAATTTTGATAAAAGCTATGGAAACTTCATTGATAAAAGTAGATTTATGTAAATAATGTAAATTTAACATAATTTCAAAGGACTCAAGTACTCCGGAAATGTTTCAATGTATTTTGATTTAAGATAACTTAATTGAAAATATCTCCATTAACGTACCTAACTTTCCTCAAATCTGGAACAATAAAACCCAGAATAAATGGTCAAAAACTATTTGCTCTCCCATTGGATTGGATGAATTGAATTGAATACCCAAAACATCACAGAAGAGGTAGTTGATAGAGCAGAGACTTTGAACTCATGGCCTAGGTATAGAACCCTCAGTAAATTACTTCATCACCTTGTTCTTTGTTATGTGGCTATAAGATGAAGCGGTTGGTGTGCTAGATCAGTAGTTCTCAAACAAAATCATCAAATGAGTTGATAAAATAATGCAACTTTCCAATATCCAACAACTGCCTACTTGGTATGGTCTGTACTCTTGGGTGGTGTTCTGGAACCCAAATTTTCCTCTAGGCATTTATATGATTTAGTTATATCCTCAAGATTTATAATATTTCTTTCAGAAGTTCCCTTTATATATATCATATAAACCATATAAAATATAGTTCTGGTTGCAGAAAATTCAGACAACCGAAAGTATTTGAAGTTGATTAGATATGCTGCAACACCCTTGCATGTATTCTTTAAAAAACAACTTTATAGAATGATTTTATTGTTTTCCACATAATGCTATTCCTGTGTATTGTATAATATATAAATCTGTTCATGAAAGAATAGAAAAATGAAAATGCAGAATGTAGGAGAGAGTTGCCAATCAATTCTTAAGACAATATTTTAATTATTCAACAGAATAATTTTTATGTCTATAATCTTAAGTTATTTCAAAATTTTTTAGACCAGAGCTAGTTGGAAAAACATGTACATAAAGTTTCATATTACTATCATAAGAAAACAATACAAACCTCTTGTCACTTAAAAACAAATAAACAAAGTTGAGAATATAATATGTGAACATTGCATATGAAGCATAATTATTTTGATATTTTTTGGAGCAGAAATACTCTGTCTTCAAAATAATAGCCTTTCTACAATATTAAAAAAATAACTTAGAGAGAACTATAAAAGGGATAAGCAGAAAAATATAAAACAGTAAAATAGAAGAGGCTATATATATACATACATATATATCTTTAGAAAAATGAATAAAATATATAAATATATAAACAAAATCAAACAATATGGGAAACTGAAGAAATTCTATGTTATAAACATTTTGAATAAAATGGGTCTTAGAAAATTCATCTTCCTATGAAGCAAACTTACTACAAGAAGCAAGAAATTGTTAGAACATATATGCTTAGAATCTTTGCAAGTTTCAGAAAGATATTTCCTCTATGCGAGAAGAGCAAACAATTTTGAAGATGAAACAAGTTGAGACAAAGAAAACTCAAGACAGCCAAACTAAAAGTTAAAAAAAAAAAACAAACCCAGATAGTCAAACTAAATGCCATGTTATTGATAATAAGGACATTTAACAATTCATAAAATTAAATTGATGGTGTAAAAGTTCAGTTTCAGTAACACAAAATTCACAGAAAAACAGTAAGTAATAAAAATAAGGATTAAGTTAGGTTGCTCAGGGGACCCCACGTATACACCAATCGCATTCCTAACCATGTCTGTGTATATCAGTCCATGGCAATTAATTCTAGGGAAATGAGAAGATTCCCCATTTTTCAAAAGTTTAGAACCAGAGATTTCAGGGAGACAATGATTTAACCGTACTCTGAGAATGTATTATGCAGGACTCAGCAAGTGCTTCAAATTAGAAAGGTTGATGGCTAATTTCTACAACTTTGACAAAAAAAATGTGTAAAAATACTAAACAGTTGCCTTTTTTAGCTCCAGTATTAATACAACTAAAATAATGTTGCACTGATCCATCAATATTTTTCATGCCCAGCTTTTGTGATTATGTACAAATACTCATTTTTTTCATTTATACCCATAATAAAATGACCCATTAAGCTACTTCCTGTGCAAGTAGTGCATGACTGAAGGTTTTGTATTGTTTTCAAAAGGAAGATGACTGTGGTTTGGTTGTGTGACTATGAAAAGTTTTGGTGTCTCCTCGTGGTGCAAACTTGCTGCTGTTAGCCAAGCCGGTTTCTCTTTTCACCTAACAGTTATCTGAAGAAATATGATTCAGTTATGGCCAATGAAGCATGAGTAGAAATGACATATAACACTTCCAGCTTTAGCCCATGAATAACCTCCCTGTGAATGGTCCATTCCATTTTCATCCTGTACAACTGGATACAAAGGAATTCAATGGAGAACACTAATGAAGCACTGAGAAATCAGGTGATGGAAAGAGGCTGGATCTTGAATGACCACTTAGATCACCCACACAGCACTTGACAAGAATCAAAAGTATACTTGTTAAGCCACTAAGGTTCAGAATCTATTGGTCATAGCTTTACCTTAACTAATGCATTTTAGATACTTCCATACTTAATAACAGAATAGGTCTCTCCACAGGTAAGATGTTCAAGCTTAGTTGGTGGCATTTGCTTTAAGGAATCAGACGTTGTAAACAAAGGCATGATATTCTAGTAAAGTAGAAACCAAATTAGTCATCAGGTTAGAGCCTTCTGTCTCAGAACCAAGTGTTGGGTTGAAAGATAATTCGTTTGCAGTGCATTACATAGGTTGCAACACCCTTGCGTATATTCACCAGAAAAATAATTTGGCATCTAAAGAGTGTAGGTCATATGTCTTCTGTAATTTTCATGGTTGAAACTAGCTGAATGTATCTTCTTTCAGCTTCAACAGGCAGTTAACTAAAAACCAGTTTGTAAGCATCTAAAAAGATGTCCAAACTCTCTCATTATAAAAGAAGTGCAATTTAAAACAACTTGAGATAGGACTTTTCACCTTTCAGAATATAAAAAGAAAACAAAAGCATAATACATACTCAGTAGACTAGACTCTAAGAAAGAGTCAATCTCATATAATGCTGGTAGAAGTGCACATATCTATGACCCTTAGGAAGGTCAGTGGGCAATGTCTACCAAAAAATACAAACGCAAATAACCTTTGACCAAATAATTCTAATTAGTGGAATTTATCCTACAAATACACTTAGAGATGTATAAAATGACATATGAACAAGAGTTGTTTGTAAGAATAAAAAAGTGTAAATTGCATTAATGCAGTTTATAAAAGTAAAATATAGAGTATGTTTCAATTGAGAGCTAGTTAAATAAATTGTCATACATATCCATACAGAGCAGCTATTAAAAAATGTGAAATCGCACTAGGTATCACATATAGAAAATCTTTCAAGATACATTAAGTTAAAAAAAGTTTAGAAGAACATATATAGTATGGTATCTTTTGTGTAAAATGGAGGAGGAGGATCTATATTCATATTTGCTTGAACATACATAAAGAAACTGGAAAATTTTTATAAGACACTAGGAACAGTGGGTCCCTATGTGGGAGGACACATCTGAGAACTGGGAAGACAAGAAATGAGGGAGACTTGTATAACTGTTCATACCTTTTGGTTTTTGAATCATGTAGATCAATTCAAAACATGCAATTTAGTAAAAAGATCAAAATAAAAAGATGAAATTTAACTTGTTAACCAAATTGTTCATTTTATGGAGTTTTGCTGGTTTCCAAGGGCCCTTCAGTTTAAATAACTGGGTAGATTGGTTACTCTCATGTGTGAATTCTGTCAGCCCCCTTAGAAATGAAGCCATAGGTTAGAAAACTTTCTGGGCTGAGGGCTTTAAATTAAGTTCACATTTATTTTTTGTTTGGAGTAGACCTTTATTTTCTACTACATTTTCTATCATATTTATTTATAAATTATTCACATAAATTTCAATATATGTAAACATTTCAAATATATTTATAGCTTATATTTGATTTCTATTACATTTTCAATTATATTTTAGGTCCATAAGTAAACGATTATTTGTTATAGGTATTGTTTTTGGCTACTCCCAACACATCCTGCCTTTTTATCCCTAACCCTCCCTCCTTCTCTCTCTTTCTCCCTCCTTTCTCTCTGTGTCTTGGTTGCTCCCTCCGCCCCTTCCTTCCTTCCTTCCTTCCTTCTCCTTCCTTCTTCCTCTTCTTCCTTCCTCCTTCTTCCTTCTCCTTCTTCCCCTCCTTCCCTCCCTCCCTCCCTCCCCTTCCCTCCTCCCTCCTCCTCCTCCTCCTCCTTCCTCCTTCCTCCTTCTTCCTTCCTTCCTTCCTCCTTCCTTTCTTTCTTCCTTCCTTCCTTCCTTCCCTTCCTCTCCTCCCTTCCTCCTCCCTCCCTCCCTCCTCCTCCTTCCTTCCTTCCTTCCTTCTTCTTTCCTTCCTTCCTTCCTTTGTCCCTCCCTCCCTCCCTCTGTCCCATTCTTTCTTTTTACACACACACACACACACACACACACACACACACACACACACGTTCTTTGAAAACACCCAATACCACAGCTCCAAACAGAGTGGGCAGCATGTGATCCAGGTCTGTCCAGTTAAAACCCTCCACCACCTGGTACATAGTGGATGAACACAAGACTCTGATGAAATGAAATAGGTTGCATTCTCAGGACTTTTCTTCTGGATCTCTCAAGAAATATTTCTTATTGTTCTTACTGGGAGGATACAATTTTAAGGTTGCCAGTAACCATTTTTTAAATTTTTTTTTATTTCAGCATATTATGGGGGTACAAGTGTTTAGGTTATGTGCATTGTTTTTCTCCCCCTTCCCGCCCGGAATCAGAGCTTCAAGCAGAGATTACCCCTAACAAAAATGAGGAAAACTTTAAAAACAAGGGGTGGGAGGAGAAAGAAGGAAAGAGAGGAAAGAGAAAGAGATCTGATGGGAACCTTCCCCCACTACTAACTGATCTTTTACAATAGTGTCCTCTGGTAAGTTTCTTATTTGCTTCAGTTAGTTTGTTTTTATCTCTTTCAATGGAATTATCACTATCATTTAACATATGATTTTTCTTAAGGAAATTTATTTCTTGTTTGGTAATTATAGAGCTCATAGTGATGAGGCAGTTTTATTGACTAGGAATATTTTTTCTTTTATTTATTTCATATTTCCAACCTTATGGAAATTGTATGAAGTATACAATTTGTATAATTGGCAAATAAAAATGAGGGTACAATGTAATGTTTTTATGTATGTATATAATGTGAAATGATTACTGCAATCAAGAAAGTTAACATATCCATCACTTTACATAGTTAACAATTTTGTGTGTGTGATGAGAACATTTAAGATTCTTCCCCAAATTTTTGTCTTCAGTATTTGGCCACAAACCATCTAGCTCATTCAGATTTTCTTTGTGATCAGTCTCATCCGTGAACTAATCTATTTCTGCCTTCAGCTCTTTTTCTTTATTGCTAGAGAATTAAATTCTCATTCTCACCCTTTCTAATAATAAAATTATCTCTGAGCTAGATTCTTTCTGTGGCACTTGGTCATTTCTCTCTCATCATTTCTAAGCTTTTAAAATTTTATGAATCCTTCCTGCTTACTGATCAAATGTGCTTAACTCTTGACATAAATTTTGTGTATTTGTTGTTGTTTATTTGTTTTTATAGAGGCAGATTGGTGTTCTAGTTTAAATTCATGTGTAAATATTATAAAGTTTCAACCAATAGATCAACAGAGAGGGCTTATGGCCTCACCAGAACTGAAGTGCTATTTAAGATAAATTTGCATAAGAAATATCTGTAAGTCTTAGAGTATTAAAATAGGTCTTTATATCTATTTCCCATTTCTTTTTATTCAAATCTATTTTGTTTAACTCTTAGGTTCTTGTTATTTCTCCAATGGTTCATAAGTCTTGGTATGGCAAGATTATTATTCAGCCACCAAGCAATGTTTTGTTGGCATATATAATAGTCATTCTGAAAGCCAGTGGGCATTGTGATTATTTTGGTCACAGAAAGAGGAGTTTCTCTTAAATCCACTTTTATTGTGGAAGAGGTATATGATGACAGCCATAATATTAATTGAAATAGAAATGTAAGAATATATTCCTATTGACTTTTTTAAAAATGTAATGGTTTTTCTGTAGTAGTCTAGTGTACCCAAGTTATCAAGCCATATTATACTCTGTGTTTGGTTAATTTTTATAATATAAAAAAATTGATTCATAAAATGAATTCAGCAAAGTTGTAAGATATAAGATCAACATGCAAAAAGCAGTTGCATTTTTACATACTAGCAATGAGCAATCCAAAAAAGGGAAATTAAGAAAACAATTTCATTTACAATATCCTAAGAACAATGAATACTTAGGAATATATTAAACAAAGGAGTTACAAGACTTGTTTATTAAAAACTAGAAAACACTGCTGAAAGATATTAAAGAAGACTAAATAGTAAATGAAAAAATATCCTGTATTCATGGATTGGAAAGCTTAATATTGTTAAAATAGAAATATTCTCTAAAACAACATACATATTAACACAATACCTAACAAACTCTCAATGATCTTTTTTTTTTTTTTTTTTTGCAACCATGGAAAAGCTGATTCTAAGATTCTAAAATTCATATAGAATTGAGGCTGGGCACGGTGGCTCACGCCTATAATCCTAGCACTCTGGGAGGCCAAGGCAGGAGGATTGCTCAAGGTCAAGAGTTCATAACCAGCCTGAGCAAGAGAGAGACCCCATCTCTACTGAAAACATAGAAAGAAATTAATTGGCCAACTAAAACTATATAGAAAAAAATTAGCCGGGCATGATGGCGCATACCTGTAGTCCAGGCTACTCAGGAGGCTGAGGCAGGAGGATCGCTTGAGCCCAGGAGTTGGAGGTTGCTGTGAGCTAGGGTGATGCCACGGCACTCTGGCCCAGGCAACATACTGAGACTCTGTCTCCAAAGAAGAAAAAAAAAGAAGAAAAGAAAAAAGAAAAGAAATAAAATTGAAAGAGACTTCAAATAACCAAAACAATCTTGAAAAAGAATAAAGTTGGAGAACTTCATTTATCAATTTCAAAACTTACTGCAAAGCTACAGTAATCAAAACAGTGCACGACTGACCTAAGGATAGACATTTAGATTAATGAAATAGAATTGAGAATCTAGAAACAAACTAATACATCTGTGGTCAACTGATTTTTGACTAGGGTGCTAAGACCATTTAATGAGAAAGAGTAGTCTCAAGCAAATAGTGCTGGGACAATTGCATATTCTCATGTAAAAGAAGAAATTAATCCATTTCCTCATACCATATACAAATGTTAATTCAAAAATGGAAGAAAGACCTAAATGTGAGAGCTGAAAGTATAAACTCTTAGAAGAAAATGGAAGTAAATCTTCATGACCTTGGATTCAAATGGTTTCTTAGCTTCAACACTGAAAATGCAGGCAATAAAAGAAAAAGATAAATTGGACTTCATCAAAATGAAAAACTTTTGTTCATTAAAGGACAGTATCAAGAAAGTGAAGAGTCAACCAACATAATATGAGACAATATTTTAAAATTATATATATATGATATATATAAAGGATCCAGTATCCAGAATATGTAAAGAACCCTTGCAACTCAACAACAGAAAGACAAACAAATCAATTAAAAACCGAGTGAAGTACTTAAATAGATATTTCTCTGAAGAAGATATACAGATTGCCGACAGCATATGAAAAGATGCTCAATGTCATTAGTCATTTGGGAAATGTGAATCAAAACAATGAGATAGAATTTTACACTCAGTAGAAAGACTATAATAATGAAAAAAAATAGTAAATAATAAGTTTTGGCAAGGATGTGAAAAATTAATACACTCATACATTGCTGGTGGGAATTTAAAATGATGTGAGTACTATGGAAAAGTTTGGAGGTTCCTCAATAAGTTAAGCGTAGTATTACTATGTGACTGAGCTCATCTGCTCTTAGGTGTATACCCCAAAGAAATGAAAACACGTGTTCAAAGAAACTTGGTACATAAATGTTAGTAGCACTATTCATATTCATATTTATATTCAGTCAAAAGATGGAAATAACCCAGATGTCAATGATATGATGAATGAATAAACAAAATGTGGTATATCCATACAATAGAATATTATCCAGCCATAGAAAGGAAGGAAGCACTGGTACATGCTAACATGGATGAACCTTGAAAATATGCTTACAGAAAATTTACAACAGACACAAGAGACCACGTATTGTGTGATTCCACTTATATGAAATATACAGATTAGGAAATCCATTGAGACAGAAAGCCGATTAGCAGTTTCCAAGGTTTGCTGGTAAGGAGGAATGACCAGTGACTGCTTATTGGGTGTTTCCTTTCTGAGGTGCTGAAAGTGTTCTGGAACTAGATAATGATGATAGTTGTACAATATTGTGAATATACTAAATGCCACTGCATTGTACACTTTAAAACAGTGAAAATGATGTATTTTATAAGTCAACATTTGAATCTCAACTGGAATTTGGGGCATTAAGCTACAAGGTCAGGGTGGCTGGCCTAAAAGATATAATGTCTATTGAAAAAATAATGCTGTACAAAATAGATCATTTGCATTCTTTTGAAGTTTAATTTCTCCTTAAAACAGAAACTTCTTTCCAAATATTTGCTGTGGGTGGGATTTTATCTTAAAATCCAAGTGAAAGAATATTGGGAGTCTCTTCCTTAATTATTACATAATTGTAATCAATTTACTTGTTCTTTCAGAAAATTATTTAACTCGGTAGATACTATGAGCTGACACCAAACATGAAATTCTATAATTGTGTTAAAGAGAGTGATTTGGATTTTACAATGAACTCTAATTATGTGTTCATTTTATTAAGTTGCAAGCTCATTAAAATAAGTTTTACTGTATTCTGTGTAATAGATTTGTGGCAGCTGTTTCTACACTTGTCATTCCTCAAACTATAACTTCAATCTGGAAGTTGTTTTGCCAGTAGAACCCTAGACCCGAATAACATCAATTTAAATAGGTTTTCACACTGATTCTTTACTGTCTGTCTCACTGTGGCTTACCACAGTCCAACTCAGAAGGGCCACCCCTGCCCAGCAGCTTGCTTCAAAAGAGCAATTACGCTCTTTAGGTGCTGGTGGCACAGTCATTGATCTTAGAATCAATGGTACATCAGGGCAACACTGAATCTCTAATTGGCAGCAGGAAAATGGGTTAGAACAATTCAAATTTTATAAATAAATGCAAGTATAAACATTAAATTACACGAAATCATATCTACTCTGGCTGCTTGTATCTTAGGATTGAGCTTGAGGCAGATATGAAATGTCCAACCTTCAGAAAGTCGAAAGCCAGCCAGCCACGTTGACCTTGAAGGCTGATGCCCAGCATTCCAGTTGAGACTCAAAGGTTGACTTAATCTGAAGGGCTCTTTCAGATGCTTCATTTTGAAATTCTTATCAGTTTTCAAGAACTGGAATCCTAGGTTGTGGGTTCGAATACTAAAGTACTCCCCCAAAATACCCATAACGAAATGCCCAACATTGTTTTACAGGCAATAACTTAACAAATGTTGAGATTATATGCGGCAAGAGTAAGTAAAATATGCTTATTGGAATAAATACCAAGACAGTTTGATCTCATAATTAAATGACAAAGTAGAAATAGTAATTTTTTTCAAATTCATATAGATTTTTAGATGAAAGTATACTAAGTAATGAACAATTTGTTCTTTTAATTTTTTCTAGTCACTTCCTGGCCCCCTATACCCCCCTCCACTCATGCTTCTAATTAGATTCACTTGTCAAAATAGTGGCAAATAGTAAAGAGTATTTGTCCTTAGTCCTTCTGATATAGTTTTAGAGTCAATGTTAAGTTACAATGTATTCCATTTTACTTTAGCAGATATCTCTAACTCTGAATAGCTAAAATTCTAACACACTGTACACAATTTGTACCTATCTTTCCTTGTACCTT